TGTCCAAAGGCCAGATGCTCCTGCCACTGCACAGAGTGAAAATAAGCAGAGAAGCAGAAAAATAGTTGGAAAGGCCCCAATTTGGAATTGAGTGGGAGGTGTCTGGCAAGAGTAAGTGAAGAGGGGAGAGAGGATGCTTCATGCAGCAAGCTGCGTTAGAAGGTCTGAAATTCTCTGGCAAATAGCTGTAGCAGACTAGCAGTTAATGTTGACTAGACGAGCATTACCCTCCCCCTGACGCAATATGTTTTGCATGTTAGGGCTTGGCAAATAAGGAAAAAAAAATCTGCTAATATTGTTAATTTGTAAAATGAACTTGCTTCAGTCACGCTCACATCCCCATCTTATTCACTTTCTGACATTGTTCACATGATCAAGTTTGCTGACATATATGTTCATCTGCAGGTATTCCTAGAAACCCAATGTGAAATTTGCATGTGCAGGTATTCACACCAGATGCTGCTGTACACAGTCAGGGAAGAGGAACAATATCATGTGACTTAACTGACGAGTCACAACTAAGCATCACAACTCCAGTTTTAGATATTCATGATCACTCCTGAGACTAAAATAATTTGACCAAACACACACACTTGATCAATAACAAATAAAGTGGAGAAAGCTGCACTCTGAATGGGGGCATTTTGTTAGCAGAAAAAAAGAATATATTCAGGCTACGAATGATTTGTTACAAATTATTTGCTTAACTCTCATGTGTTTTTCTTTCTGTCCACATGCAGGTAAGTACAGTGTATTCCAGTTATTTACTGATGGACAGGATGTTAATTCTTAAAGTATCTGAAGAACAGGCACCCAACAACATCCCTGAATAATGTATGTGCTTTCTTTGTAAGCTTGCTTCTGTTTTGTAACCTTTAAAACATGGATTTTATGACTGACATCATTAAAATTTATACTCCCTCTAGAATGTGATGTTCATTATTATTACTCCACTGTGCCTCTGGATCACCTGTCTGCATTGTGGTGCAGCCTTCCTCAGGACTAAAATTCTGATCTCTGTTCCACTGGTGTAAATCCAGAGTAATCCAGGAAAATTCATTATTTTCCATGAAGTTCAGTGGGTAGAACTGGGATCAGAATCTGGCTCTTTATGCTTTCAATGGAAATTTAAAAGGTTGCTATGAGTAACTATATATTTCTAGAAGTGAAATATGAAGTGCCTTTTGAGCTTTGACTATGGATATTAACAACAAGAAACTGCCACGGAAGGCTTGTTTTCAGAGGCACTATATTTCTTTGTTTTAAAATATTCTAGATTTTGTCAGGCCCAGAATCCAGGGCAGTCCTGAAACTCTTGCACCTACCACATTCACATTAATTTCCACAGGAATTTTAGGTGCTCAGGGAATGAGGTATTGGGGCCATTACATATTATATAAAATTTCAGTTTACATTGAGGAGAGAATAGTTAGTAAGAGACAAACCTAAATAAAAAGGTTTAAAATTTTTTGAAATTGACTAGTGATTTTAGATGCCTCAATTTGGGGTGCCCATTTGAGACACTTTTTAAAGGCATATTTAGCCAGAAAGTGCTGTTCATCCATACTTAAAAAATCAGGCTCCAGATGGACACCCTAAAAATTAAGGCACCCCAAATCACTAGTCACTTTTGAAAGTCTTGGCCAGATTTTGCAAAGTTGTAGGTCTCTGAAATGAATGAATTGGCAAAAGGGAGCGATTGAGCTTTGGTGCATTGGGCCGTTAAAGTTAAGGCGCAGGGCTTTTGTTGCTTCTTTGTGATGCATAAAGATGACCTCCGATTTTTTGTATATGGAAAAGTTGTCTTGCTTGTGATTTTGCATTAGAAGTATGAAGTCTTGACTTCCCTCTTTATGCTAAAGGACTATCTAGTGGACTGCAGAGCTAGTGGAAATAGGACATCACAAGAACACCGAACAGAACAAATGAAGCAAGGGTCACCCAATTAAATGAATAGGCAGCAGGTGTAAAACAAACATAAGGAAGTTCTTTTTCACACAGTCAACCTATGGAACTCCTAGCCAGAGAACTTTGTGAAGGCCATAAGTATAACTGGGTTCAAAAAAGAATGAAATAAGCTCATGGGGAATAGGTCTATCAATGGATATTAGCAAGTTGGTCACTAAGGCAACCCCATGCTCTGGGTGTCCCTAAACTTCCAATTGCCAGAAGCTGGGAACGGAAGACAGGGGATGGATCACTCAATACATTGCCCTGTTCTGTTCTTTCCCTCTGGCACCAGCTACTGTTGGAAGACAGATACTAAGCTAGATGGACTATTGCTCTGACCAGTATGGCCGTTCTTATGTAACATGAGCTATGTTTTCCCAGCTTTCATTCAGAGGGCATGTGTAGTTGACATAAAAAAAGAAGTCAATTGTATCAAAAACCCAATTTCCCACTGAAAAAAGGCTTAGAAAGAAAATTCTCAGCCAGCCCTAATTAAATCACCTGTGATTGCTAACATGTTGTCTAAAGTTCTCCTTGTTCCTATCACTGGTGAAGTCTGCTGTGGAGTTTTAGCAAATATTTCCTTTTTGCAGAGTTAATATCCCCTCTCCTTCAACTGAGGAAAGAATACTTAGTAAGAGACAAATCTAAACACAAAGATTCAGATTAAGCTGCTGATCCAGGTTTAACCAGTCCACCAGGGCCACCCAGACGATTCAGGGGGCCTGGGGTCTTCGGCAGCGGGGGGGGCCCCTGCCGCCGAATTGCCGCCGAAGACCCGGCGCTTCGGCGGCGAGTCCCAGGGCAGGAGGACCCCCCGCTGCAGGTCTTCAGGGCACTTCGGCGCTGGGTGCCGGAGTGGAAGGACCCCTGCCACCGAATTGCCGTCGAAGACCCGGAGTGGAAGAAGCTCCGGGGGCCCGGGCCCCATGAGAGTTTTCTGGGGCCCCTGGAGTGAGTGAAGGACTCCGCTCCAAGGGCCCCGAAAAAATCTCATGGGTGCCCCTGCGGGGCCCGGGGCCTGGGGCAAATTGCTCCACTTGCCCCCCCCTCCGGGCGGCCCTGCAATCCGCTAGTTTCTCAGTCTTTTAGTAAAACCAGGAAACAGCCTGTCAGACATACAGAAAGGCATGGCTATGTAATCATGCATTAAATAGTCACGTCTTTTAAAGATTCATGATCCTTGAATGTAAATTGTACCTTATAAGTCTTGCCTTATTCCTGTGTGATCATTGCACTGTTACTGGTATGAGATTCCTGATATCAGGGTACTTTTTTTTTAAGAACAGGAGTACTTGTGGCACCTTAGAAACTAACAAATTTATTTGAGCATAAGCTTTCGTGGGCTACAGCCCACTTCATCGAATGCATAGAATGGAACATATAATAAGAGTATATATATATATACATACAGAGAAGATGCCATACCGGCTCTAAGGGGCTAATTAATTAAGATGACCCATTATCAGCAGGAAAAAAACTTTTGTAGTGATAATCAAGATGGTCAATTACAGACAGTTGACAAGAGGTTAAGGATCCTTATCATAAGGAAATAGATAACCTAAAGTTATCAAAGCTGCTTTTATACATAATAAAGGAGCAGTAAAGCATAAGAAAAAAAAACATTGTCCCCCTTGGCAGTTCACCTTAAAAAAACAGAGCCTGGGAGGAACTCATTTTACAGCTGTCTGAAAGCTGTGTATGTTGCTGTCAAGGTGCCAATCTAAAATGCATAGTTGTGACACAGCATCTTATGTAGTCATAATAGAACATTTAGGGATAGAATTTCCTAGAAATTTTACTGACTGGCTTAATGGAGTTATGTGCTTCAGACTCTTAGCTCAGCTGGTCATTGAGTGATAGCAAGTGCTACTTGACCTGGAGGTCATTGCTATTATAAACCCAGGAAGTATTAACATGTAAAGGGGAAATAAAATAATTACTATCTTAAGTGGGAAAAAGTTAAAAGTTTGTCTGCATGTTGCTTTGGATATCGTGTTTATAATAAAAATCCTAATAGTAGAAGGGCTGGCTCCAGCAACGCTTGCTCCTGTGAATTATCCTTGCTCATGCAGTAGTGTCCTGTTATTTTCAGTGAGACATCTCATGTGAGAAAAGGCTGCAAGGTCAGACCTCAGTAGCATAGTAACCAACAGGAAAGTAGGACAGCATCTCAATTTTCTGTTTTGATTTATGGCATAAAGTATTCTTTGGAGAAATTTAATGTCTTAACCTGAAGCTATAGCGAGTAAGTGAAGTGCAAGAAATATTCCATATTGTCAAATTTGTCCTATTGTTTTGCAGTCAATGACAAAAATCAGGATTCCCTCTCTGCTCCTACCTCCAAAGTATTCATTCTCTCAGCAATTACTTATAAGCTAAATTTCAGCCTGGATTATAAATGTTTCCAAAATAGGCAGTAACCTAAATGGTTCCTGTAGACACTTTTAACAGCACAATGTTTTTAGTGTAGAGATGGGGACACTACTTATTACGAAGAGCTAGATTCTGCCATTCTTCCTAATGTTGAATATAGTACCTTTCTCTTGGGTAGTCCTCTTTTCTTCAGTGTGACCGTTCATTGATTAAGGCAATACACAACACGAGCAAGAGGGGCAACATATTAACAGTTGTTTTATGCCATTTATACTTATTGAAATATTTGTTTGGAATTCCCTCTTATAATGGGAAAGATGAGAGGGAGACGAGGTGGGAATGGAGCACTGAAGCAGATTAAAGAAGGGTGATTTCAGTTTTTCACAGGGTTAATGCTTTCCAAATTAGGGGAATACGAAATTGAAAGTGAAGGGCATGCTCCTTGTTGGGGGAAAGCTTTAGAGTGGTCTTAATGCAGAATCTCATTAAAGCAACTGTCAGGATTCCTCTATTTTACCATCACCTCCCCAGTTTGTAAGAGGCAACTGTCGTTTTGAGTGAGAGTACTGCCAAAGAGGCATTTACAAATAAATGAAAAATGTCACAATTGATTTTGCTCCTTCCAGAGGACTGTGTCAGCTTTGTCACAAACTGTCTTTGTTATTCTGTTTCAGATTTCTCAGCTGGACATTGGAAATAGCTTTTGATGGTTCTGGGCTTCTTTCATTTGACCCAGGGTAAGACCTCAGTCTGTGACCTTTCATTAATATTTGTGCAACGGTTTGGGCCTTTGGTAAACAGTCTATTATTTCCTCCTCTTTGAGCATCCAACAGGCAAAATCGCCAATGTGTGCAAATCAGATATGTAGAAAACCGTCCACATTTGAAAATGTTACCAAAATAAGTTATGTTTCATAGTTTCTTCCCAGCAGAAATACATATCAATGTGATGATTATTTAGAGGAATATATATTGAAACAATGGTGCTATCCCTATAAAAGGCACATGGCTATACTTTTTCTTTGTTACCAAGGAACTTATAGCCATATTCCTAAATTGTTAACATTCTTTCCCTCAGATGTTGCATATTATCCCTACTTCTTTTATAATGCACTTTTCTATAAGACATTCTTGCTGTGCAGATCCTTGCTTGTAAATATCCGAGAATGAGCAAGTTCTTATTTTTCCTAACATGTTTTCTGGCTAGATAAGTAGGCTAGTGGGGTATTATCGATTTAAAAAGGCTTTTATTGGAAAAGTCTGAATAACGTAAGAATGCAAATCCTTTTTGGAACTCGAGTTTGAAGAATTATTGGAAACAGTCCTCCGAAGCCTCTGAACCACCGGAGCCATTTCAATACAGTTACATATCTAAGTAGTTATTTTGCTCTTTGCACTTTACTTTGTGCTTTTAGGAATCAAAAGTACAGGATGTATTTTGCTAAAATTACTATTCCAGGACAACTTCAATTGAAATTCTGCTAATGATTCTTTCTATAGTGATTGTATATAGGCTCATAATGACAGAGCTTAAATGTAACCTTACCTGGATGACATATGTTTTCTAGCTTTATGCATTTTCTGTATGTGTTTAGTGTTCTGGTGGTAAAGTGCAATGGAAATCCTGTATAGTAGCTACAGTTTGTAACAAACAATAATACCAAGAGGAAGTAGGGTGACCAGTCAGCAAGTGTGAAAAATCGGGACAGGGGGTGGGGAGGTAATAGGAGCCTGTATAAGAAAAAGCTCCAAATATCGGGACTGTCCCTATAAAATTGGGACATCTGGTCACCCTAAGAGCAAGATTTATTACTCTATTCCCAATGACTTTCAAGTGCTAAGCAAAAAACCCAACACCAACTGTTTGTAGCATTGGATTATAAACAGTTTCCTGTTAATATACTTATATCTACTGCATTTACAGTATTTTGAAAGTTTACCTCTAACAAAGGTACGTGTGTGTGAGAGTATTGTCCATAGAATATATATTTTTTAGAAGGATAGTGTCAAGAGAAAAGTAACTTTATTTGAAATTTTCTCCTTGTTACCAAGAACATACTATTAAAACGGAAAGAATTTTAGGTCCCAGTCATCTGTTTTTGTACATCTAGACCTCCTACAGAGTCCAATGGGAGGCTGGATTATACAAGGTAAACATAATCAGGTTTCTGATTTGCTATTTGATTTTCATGCTGGTGTGTTTACTTTCTGTACTTCATTCACCTTGGTCAGTGAAAATAACATGGTTAGTTTCAGTTTTGTTAATAAAAGCGGTAAAATGCTACTATCTCTAAAATGCCACATTTGTATATGAATAACTCAGTCCTGTTTGTTTAAACTGGGGAAAGACCCCAGCTGTTCCTTCCTAATTAAGATTTGACACAAAAGCATCACTTTCACAGTTAGTTTCAGTTTCCCGTTCTCATGTACTCACACAGCGGTGTTGTGTTTGGGTTCTCACAGACCCAGGGAATTATGTTAAAAAGAAACTGGTTTTGATTAATTAAAATTGAGTACCTAAACCAGATTTGAAAATATTTATATTTAGAATAGTTTTTGTAACTTCCTCTTTTTTGATTCAAGTACTTAACAGTTTAAAACTGTTCTCTTGGACAGACACCCTGGGCTGAGTGCGACCGGACTCTCCAAGAGAGTCATGGTATTATGCAGTGAGCTGTTTACTGTTACTTTCAGTACCTGTAAATTAGGAGAAAATCTGAGATGTGAAGCAGGACTAAGGACAGAAAAGATCTCTCCCAGCGCAAAGGCTGATGAAATAGTAATAATCAGACATTGTAAGGTTGATGCACTGATATAATGAATCAGAATCTCTCTCTCTCTATATATACACACTGGTATAATGAATCAGACTATAGTACCTAAGGAAATTGGAAACAAAAAATGAGGAGGTGAAAATACCATAATGTACAACACTATCAATTGCAAACCCAGAAAACATTTGACTTTTAACATTACAGTAAAATGGTTTTTATGCAAATAGAAATAGAGAAACATAAAATGTGAACAAGTATTGCTCAGAGAAATCTAGGCAATTCTTCAAAGGTGTCCTGAATGGTAGAAAGATCTTGGGAAACTGTGATTTGGCAAATGGGCAGCAGCTCAAACTTTAATATGTGAGTCTCCTAATAAAGTAGTGATATTTAGCCTCACAATATTACCTGGAATTATACTAAAATTGAATTGTCCCAGCCAGTCAGAATGAAGGGGGAGTGCTGTAATGTACTGATGTATAACTCCATGGGTTTCCCCTCCTAACTATATATGCAATTCTCTGAGCTGCAGTTGGTTGTACATAGATGATGTAGTTATTTCTCAATAACAGTGTTGTGCAGTTCGAGGAACTCATGATTAGCTGGTGACCATCGCTAGCACAAACTAGTCACTTAACACGATCACTGTGGACAAAGTTCTGACTTGGACAATGCATGGGTAAGGGACTCACAGGGAATAAGAATTCCCTTAACATCTCTATACTGGCTACCCAGACCCAAGAGTAATAAGACTAGTCTCTCCCTTGGCCCTCCATGGAATAGGTGGGCAGGGCATGAACCAGGAAAGGCAAGGTGAAAGAGGCTTGGCTCTACCAACCCCTCACTGGCCAGTGTGGCTGAGCCAGTGGGTAGGCCATCAGTAAGTAACTACCTGCCAGGAGCAAGGAGGGAGATAGGCCGGAATTGTGACTCAGAGCTATGTCTTTGATTTAGTGTTTTCTGAGCCCATTCCTGGTATGCTGTAACTTACACACACACCCTTTGCACAGTGTGTGTCTAAAGTCACAATCTAGCCCTGTCTGGTTATTTTTCAATAATTGTA